AAAACTTTCCATCTCTAGTTTTTGGCATACTTGTCGTATGGTTCAAGTTGTTTCTGCCTATATATACCCATCATTTATCCTTCTTGTTTTACACTGCTAATAAACATGAGTGTAAGACCTATAGATTTTCGGCATTAGGATTCGTTGCCATGTAAATAGTGATACCCACCAATGTTTTCATTAAATTTCCAGAATAGTTATGCGTAATAACACACTTAGCATTCCGTCTAGCTGTGGTAGATGTACTTCGACAACTGTGACCGCGTTTGTTTCAGATATTACATCTAATTTTTTCGGTGGCCTAGCGTACTAACTATCCCATTTCAGCAGATACAAATATCATAATAATGCATAATAATAACAAGAATCTTATGTGCTGCGAAAAACTGACATCTACGGCATCCATCAGATTGGTATATTTAGTCTCCTGTCCCAACGAGTGAATTGCGCACACACGACCCACTCATTCACTATAGTTTTATCACCTTTAAATCGAATAGTATGCTCTAGTTCTTCCTATTATCTCAGGCTAACCTCAGATGCCAGATAAAGTTTAGGAAGCCAGATACTTATTACCCACTAGAACTCTACTAATGTTATTTAGTATTTATATGTTGATCAACGCTTGATTTACTTCATATGTTTAACGATATTCTTTTGGAGCTCTTAGAATGTTTTAAATTAAGGGTACGTATCCTCAACATATTAAAGATAATTAAGAGAGAACCATGTCAGGTCATTCTTATCATGAAATATGAGCCTTTAATGATCATCATTATCATGTGTGTCCCTTAATAAAGTAAGTATGCGAAAGAAAGCATTCAAAAGGTGAGAAGTATTAGCGGAATGACTACGAAAAGGGGAAATGAGAAAACACATATGTCATACGGCACCGACTTTATATATCACCATCACAAATTACGAATCCATAGTAATCTTAGAAATATTACACGTATCTCATATTTTAAAGCTATTGGTTCAAAAGGTACTGCAGCCAACATAATTAGAAATGGAGCAGTCGATCGAGAAACCCAAGCATAACAAGAAAGTGTTTTACTTATGATGATGCCTGAAAGAAATTCATTTGTTTGAACTATGGGGATGATACACTTAGTATGAGAGGTAGTAGATCTGTAGATCGATAATATTGTTCGTAGACTAGAACTAGAAGTCTGATAGCGCCAAAGCCTGACCACATGATAATTCAAGCTGAGTATATTGTCCCAGTACTTTTACATGGACATGCTGAATGGTGAACGGAAAGTAGTGAAGGCGAAGAAAGGCTTATATGGTAACGTTATCAAAACTGATTTGCTAACAATGGAAAATGTGGTGACACACAGAACCATACATTTCGTTGTAATAAGTATGTTATTCTGCCAGCAAAAGTGTATTTTTCCTTCACAGGTGGCTATAAATCAGCACACACTGACTAGCAAGCCTGAACAAGTCAGGATAAACCACGATGTGACCTCAACACATGATCACATAGAGTAGTCAGTTACATCATTCCAAGACGGATATGTTACAGCCAGCCTATTATTCAAGCATCGTAAGTTAGTCAGTTAGTAGCCATTATGGTCCTAACTCCTACAGTTTGACTTAATTTACTCTGTTTCATAAACATGCTTGTGAAATTATTCACATACTTCTCGTTTTTTTCTTTGCATTTTCATTAAAGTCGACTCAGTAGTCTTCCAACTTCTACAAAACCTGTTTACGTTTGGCGAATATGATGCAAACATTATTGTAACTTTTGTGTAATTACATTCATAAAGAAATCTGGAATGGTTTCTTCACAACATGTATGTGCCAGTGATCTGTTTGTGAATAATAATTGAGTTGCGATAATTTTTTTATAATCATTAGCACTAGCTATATTCAATATTATATTTCTAATGCAACATAGAATTTCTGGCTCAAAGTATCCGAACAAGTTTCATTTTCTTATTTCTTGATCAATCGTGACGACAAATATTGAGTGATCGCCAGTTAAAAGTTAGCAATACACTCAATCAACATCTAAATGATGTTAAAATGTCTATTTGGCAGTAAGTGTTCAAAAGGTGCATCATCCGTGGTTTTGATTGCACGTTGGTATACAAGTTGACGTTCAGTGGTCTGCTATCAAATCAGCAAGACAGGTGATTTGTCAAGAAGCCCTAATCTTTTTTCGCTGTCACCTAAAAACTTCAAAATATACGAATGCAACTGTCAGCCTCTGATTATTTATGAGAAACTATTAATACCAATCACTATTGACACAGAAACCTTCTCAAAATTGGTAATCAAAATTTCCATCATTAGTGCAATATAATTGTTTAGGAATGTCTTCGAACCTGACCCCAAACTAAAACTGCAAGCTGTGAATAGATCAGAGGTAAAAACAATAAGCACAAGGCATTTACGATTATATTTTGGTCCCGAATCCGACTTTTCATGGAGTCTTGTTGTGGCAGACGTCTTCATTCCTATAGTCAGCGTTGATTTTTTTGCAATTCTATAAAATTCTCGTAGATGTCAGAATTTATCTAGTCAGTTACTGGACCTATTATTTCAGAGTTTTAAATGTGACAAACTGACACATACTAAAACCCACCTTTAGAATATATGTACTTGGGTTCCTTTTAAATATTTTGTATGAATGTGTTTGGAAGTTCTCCCACGTTATGTTTTGTGTAATGATGACGTGTTGTCTTCATTTGTACTCAAAATTAGTGCTTTAAAATTTTGTTTGTATATTCGCCACATATTCTGACTCACGAGATTAAAACTATCCCTTTTCTGAGGGTTTTAGTCTTGTGATCCTTATCTTCATATAATATTTCTCCTCGATGACTCTCACTTTTCATATCTTCAATCACTTTAGTGTTGACCAAAGGGAAAGTCTATATTTATGACTTCCATGATACAAAAGTGTTTCATGCCTTTCCTTAAATATGTTATTCTGGTTTACAGTAATTCCAAGCATAATGATCTCATACACATTCAAGATTGTCGAAAGCGATTCACTAGGGCTCTTTTGATGTATTCTCATCATAAGGATTATCATCAAACATGTCATCAGCTAATGTTGGGACCTCTTTTAATCAAACACATTAAATTTGGCCTTGTAGTAATCTCCCGTCTTATAAATGTCATTTTTAACTCTTTGACATCCATACATTTAGGCTATATCATATCATCCAAAAACCTGTGCAACAAGGAAAACTTTGTATCGATTCTGAGGAAACACAAAGACGGATGTCTGAATTAACCCGTCATTCATAATTTATAATTGTAGAACAGTCTCCCAGCAAGTCAACGTAAAAGTACGATTGTAAAACAGTTCAATAATCTTATTGATTACTCTCCCAGAATGTGGTTCAATCACCTTTTAAATATCGTTGTGACAGCTATTTAAGCGATCGCAAAATGAAGTAAGGCTCTTTCGTTTTATGGAAAAATCCAAGGTTCGTCCGTACTTTATCAGACAAAGTGGCTAAACTCTCCTCTTCGACCAGCACGAACATCGATTAGCGACAAAACGCCATCATAAACTTTCGCATATATCAATGCATATGGACAAGGGTGAACATAAATTCGACTAGAAAAAGTTGAAATCCTGGATAGAAAGAATACTAAGAACACCAAGTTATTGAACATCCAGGATAAGACGAGTCACTGAAAACATGCACGTGTAAAATAGGACTGTCAGGAACACAAACAAAGCGGACTTCACTGAATGGCTCAACTTACGAGCTGTCCTTGACATTAATGAGACGGTGGGATGTGAAAATAAAGTATGAGACATCTGAAGAAAACTGAACGTAAAACTGCAATTACATCCAAGGTACATGTATCCGTTTCTCCGGAAAAAACATGGACGATTTTCTTGTGAAAAGTAAGTAGCTTGTCGCACATTCGGGCAGACGATTCAGAGACAAACTCCATGAAAATAGAGTTCTACATCCGGTTTTGTTATGGGCAGATTGAATCACTTAGCTGAAGGTGCTCGGTCATGCGACCGAACCAGATCACGAGTGGGAACGCCGTGCACAACAACCCCTGCAATCGCTAGCCAGATTAGATCAGACGGTACTCGATATATTGATAGCCTATCAAATATATCTTCGGACCTTCTCGCTTCTGTTTTTTTATTTCACTTGGCGGGTACGATTAGAGCGTTGTCAAATTCCTAATACATGTAGCATCTTCAAACCCACGCAGGACTGCACATCAGTAAGGTGAGACCTAGGTGAAATCAGAAGTTTAGCGGTCGACACTGCCAAATGTTTTTTAGACCAACATGACTGCGGCTTCGTGGTTCACAGTACTAATATAAGGCTCGGAAACATGTAATTTCACGTGGCACACCATCTTTCACCTGGAATAACAATACCACATGCTTGTCTCGAAACTTTTCATGACCGCGACTATTATTTATGCTGGTTCTACCATTATTACTGTGATGACACGAGTCGTCCTTGCCAACCTTATCTCCTGTAACCTCACTCTATCTGTTACTTCTGAATGTTGTATGTTCACATTAATCTTGTAAACTGTCCATTTACTCGTTTCAACATTTATCTTCTCTTCACGCCTGTTTATTTTAATTTTATAATCATTTAGACTTTCACTTAACCTAGTGAACCTACCTCTCCAAAATGACAACACTCACTTACATTGAAGGAATTTTAACCCATCAATTAATTACCAAATTTACGAGTATTAGTGCAGTAATGTTGTTAGACTACAATTTTTGAACAAATCAAAGACACTAAAACACAACGCGATATAAAGAGATGATATTCAAAAAGTCTATCGGTTTACGGGACCTAATGACAGTGATATTAGATTATGAACTGTCTTTTTGGTTCATAAAATATTTTATATTGAATGTGGTTAGTTCAACTGTTTGAGTTACATTCAATTGAGTTGTCGATGGGTGCGTAAAAAATTCGATTATAACTGATTCTTTTCTGGAGCTTTGATGTGTATTCTGTGACAAAAAACAGAAAATGGGTGGTTCGATGTCAAGAATAGTTCCTGGTTTATACATTGGCGGAGTTGCTAGCGCTCAATCCAAAAGTCAACTAGAAGAAAACGGTATTACTCATGTCTGTAGCGTTCTCCACTACAATTTTAAGGTAATCTGGTATGCTCATCACTTAACAGTAGTTAGTGTCCCACTAGAAAGCAATTGCTGCTCCGAGCTGATGACGACTCGAAGGAAAATATTGCCAAATATTTTAGGGACGCATCCTTTTTCATTCACGGGGCAAGGGTTTATGATGGTGCCGTGCTAGTCCATTGGTAAGAAAAAAACTTTTTTGAGCGTAGTGTTTCAGTTCTTTGTTATTTATCTTTTAATCTAAGATTGTTACAGTCATTTTATTTCGTCAGTTTTTTCAAATATTTGGAATTTGAAGTAAGCTGGTTCTGTATTCTCTCGAACTTCTCTGTAAATTCATTGTAGTCTTACCTTTTTATGTTCCATCTCTGCACAATGAAGCTACTTAAACCATATGTCCTTTAGGTTTGGTTTGTTTGATTTGTTGTCTCTTTTAATATGCTATTTTGTAACGTTTACCAAGGACATTTATGTGCTTTATATGTATTTTGTTTACGGCAGCGAAACATGGCAATTAAGGGTAGAAGACACTCGTGAGCTACTAGTATTTGACCACAGATGCCTTAGAAATATTGCTCGCATCTGCTGGGATCACCGGGTAAGTAATAGTGGTGTTGGACACAGGGTATTAGGGAATGATGGTAAATCAGTTGATGAGGTTGTGAATCTTCATCGACTGAGATGGTTGGGCCGTGTTACGTATGCCTGAATACTGATTACCACCATGCGAAATGCTAACCGGCGTTGGATATGGTTGGAAGAAAGTTAGGGGTGGTCAAACTAAAACGTGGCATCAGTCTTTGAAGTCACCAACTTCTAGTCTTAGCAATGTTGATAGATGCAGACTACTTGGTTGGGGTCCGTGCGACTATCGTAACCAATGGTTGTAGACTGTTGGTGACATGGCTCAGAATCGATCACAATGGCATCGGTGTATACACTCTCTGTCTTCCCTTAAACTAAGAGATTAAAGTCGCTTCATAACTTTCTACGAACTAATTATTTCATCCTGTACTATATCCTTATATCCAATCTTTCTTTTATATATTACCACCTCTGAATTAACTACTTTTATGAATCAGGTGTTCGTCTTGTTGTGTTAATGAGGTATGGCAACATGGACCGATGCATATATGTGTCTGGTCGTACGTTGTAGCTGACTGACTGATATATATGCTTGAGTTGTGCTTGTTGTTCGTGATGCTGACTGCTTGTGGAATACATTTCTCTCTCCTGAACCTAGACTTCTTTTTCTAGTTAGGGCGGCTGAGACGCATCGGTACAGTTGGCTTATTTGGTCATTGTGTCACTGAGTCTTCCTTCCGTTCGCAGATTAGGTGAACTTTTAATCTCTCGAAAGATAGCAATTTCTGAGCTAGAAATCTACAAATATCGTCAAACATATTATTCACCAGGTTAGAGTAGTGTTCCTCAAGGGCTTGCAGAAACCCAATTCTCATACGCGAAACACGTCGCAAAGTCACAAGCAACATAGTCCTGTATTTTGAAAGTGCCCTACACACACTCAGTCCTTATTGGCACTTTTTCGTGGACTGATAACTTGCCTAGAATCTGGTTCGTTTCTCACTAGTTTTTCATTTTGATAGACACAGTCTCATGTTAGCTGTTGATCAAAGTAGGTTCTTACTCCTTTCTTTCCATCGAGATTTTGGAGACCATATTTACTATCGGTTTGTCATCGATTTTACCCAACTCTTCTAGGTGGAGTCTTCGTGTTTATCAGTCTGGTTTAAGCTCCGGGTATCCCCATTTCATCTAACTGCTTTCTTTAAAACAGCACCGCATACATAATGGTTAAGAATGGGACTTTCATACCAAAGACTAATAAAAGAATGGGTTTATGAGATCATTTCGAGAAGACCAGACCCCACAATCTCGGTCATATCAGGAGTCTCAGACAAAAAGTCTATGGTATTGCTGTATAATGAGCCAAAGTGTGTCACGAAATAAACATCTGACATTCTTTATTGAGGCTAGTATTAGTAATTTTTGTGCTGGAGTTCTTCACCAGATTATGTTATAGGTCGACCTATCAGACAGTTTATGTATTCAACGATCCACTAAATAAATCCACATAATAAAGTATACGTCTAGACTCGTAGTTCACCAACAGAAAGTTTGACTTTTGACTCAATTTATTAATTTACTGGGAATAGTCAGATTCAAAAATTATTGGCACCGCGACTTAGTGCTTGTAACAGTCAGTTTTCAACCCGTAAATGTTTGGTCTCAACTCCAACCACTTAATTTTGGTTTTGACAGCCACACATAATGTGGCTCAAATCTGAGTACTTGATAACAAAGTCAAGTTAAATTTAATTTCTACGAATTACAAACCAAACCTATCTAGGTGATTTCCTTACCCTTCACAGGTTTGGATACATACCTTGTGATTGAATAAACAATTATTTATATGTTCAAGTCATCACAATCCATTATATGCTAAATAAAGACTACCAGCAAGAAACCAAACAAAAGAGTAAAGATAATGGTGATGGTATAGTAAATTTTAATCTCTTATATGTTTGATCAAAATTATAATAATTATGTATAATAACTCTCTATCTCTGTTCCCATATTACTTATAAAGCGCTTGTGGCGTCTCTCGTAGCGTGACAATAACTTTGGCCTATCTGATGACCATAACAAACATGCCTCTACCAAAGCTCGTTAGAGCAGTTGTTGGTGCAAGACCATGCGCTTGTCCGAATAGTGGATTTTTGGTAAGTTGAAATACTCTCGCACTTATTCTTGTTCAATGCTAAAATAGATATTTTTGTATTATTCTGCTCTTTTACTGATTCATCGTCACCCATTATTTAATTAAAACTTCACTACTAGCCCTGCCAATTGCATTGGTAGAAACGGTCAGTAACAAGTGAAGCAGTAACCTCGAACGCTCTTCATATCTTGTTTCATTTGGCGAAATTCAAAAGCAGGCTTTGATGAACAATACTTCTATACTTAGAGAAAACTAACGATTTGAAGTAAAAACATTCAATATGTTTATAGGTAGAGATAGATGGTGGCAATCAGTGGAATACGGGATGCGCATTTCATTCTATTTGGGACTCGTCAGCTGGATGTACCTGCATCCCAGAGTTGGCGTTCATTCTGGGACTCCAACCTAGTACCGTTCGCCTCAAATATCATCTCGCTATACATTTAGCTAATGAGTCCAGATAGCCACTAGCTTGTGCAATGGGATACAGACACACCCAGCTGACGCACAGGATGCAAATATGCCAGTGTGAGACTAATCAATTGCAGTCCTAAACAAAAATGGGAAGACTCAAACAACCAATACAAAAATGAATCAGTATGTTTATGTTCACTGTGGTATTGAGTTATTTCTCATTATGAATCCATCTGATGGTTTTTGATCCTCTGAAAGAGTTAACAGTTTATTTGAGAGTCACAAATATTACCCATTGTTTCGTAACTACTGGAGACAAGTTCCATCCAGATAATGAGATGTTAGAAGTATTACATTTGATAGTTATTCGTTGGTTTGTTCATAGTATGCTAAGTATAAAGATCCCAGGCAAACATTTACGTCCTAAGAAATTACCAAGGTAATCGAGTTATTACAAACATTCACTTTTGTCATGCAATCCGAAAGTAAGTAGTATACTACGCTTCAGATAACTGAACTCGTCACTAAAATCAGTTAGTCAGTCATACGCAACGTAGAGTGTGACACGTTTCCATTAGTTCAAGTTGCTACATCACGTCTACACAGCTGTACTCCAGAGTTGTATAAGTTTTAACAGTATTAGTGGTAGTAGAAAAATTAGGCATAGAGAATATAATTCGCGGTGAAATATGATTTCGTTGAATAATAAAATATTTTTTGATAACAGATCTTAGGATCTAAGGAAAGGTAAATAGTAAATTCACCTGTGTGATTGCGAACAATTCTAATCCATATTAATTATTGTCTCTAACTGATAGTTGTTGTAATGATTTCATGCAATTATATCATGATTCGGTTTAATTACTAAAAGCTTCCTTCCAATGTCCTCGTACATCAACTATAATCACGCATTGCCTTAGTCGGTAATTGGACATTCTTACTACAAATTTCTATACGTAACACGGGGAAATAGAAAAATGTTACCTTCTGTTAATACGAATTAACAGTAACTAACACTTAAAAAATTGTTTTTTATCTGTTTTTACCGATAAATTACTTTTTTTTCAAAAATTAGTTACGTTTTTCATCCTTTGTTTTAAATAATTTGGCGACTTACCAATCTTAAAAAATGTACACATCTTTTAGGAACAATTAATAGAGTATGGCAAGTCTGGTGCTGCTGCAAAAGTTCGACGTGAACTAATCGCATGTTATGGTGAATGGCCAAAGGAAAAAATGAATGCTGATATTGCTGTACTAACAGAACTGCTACTCAAACCAGAGCATACTACCTGTATTGGCGCAAGTGGTGGTTTCACATTGCCAGATGATATTACAGAATATAATGATGATGATAATGGTAACAACAGTCAACAAGGATCTCTTAATAATCCCTTAGATCAACAAAATTCACAAAAAATAATATGAAACCGACTAGTTATACAATCTATTCAAATAAACCATTACATATACGAAGAATACTTGCAGAGAGTGAAGATAATAATCCAGCATCGTCATCATCATCAGTATAAAATACAATATTAACGGAAAATAAACTAATTTTATAGATATCTACGGTTATTCAAATTTGATATTTGTTATTTATTGTCAATAACCACTTACCACTGATATATGTGATTAAAACTGATGTAAACGGTTTGTAAAACAATTACTTATTCAATCTTACTTTAAGTTTGTTCGCTGTTCCCTTATTTTTGTTTTATAGATGTTCAAACATGTACTCTTGTCGTGATGATTAGTGATGGCTTTGTTGTACACAATTAACACTCTAACCACACCTAATATACAAATGAACTTTTAGTTAGTTTTATTGAACAACCCGTCTCTAGGCTTTCCTTTCTTTTTGGTTTCCCTTTCATTTGATATTCAGTTGTTTTTTTCATAGCCATAATGTAAAAAACAAAAGGATCAATGCTATGATGCACAGACTTTCTCTATCGCACTTTTTAAAATCATAATGCCTTTGACATATATCCGTTGATTTCTAGTTGCTTTTTACAAATATCTCTTAATTACTGGTGAATTGAACAATCATTTCTGTAATATTAGTGTGAATAATCTCATTTTCTAATGTATTTACCTTTTTGAAAACTTTCATATGGAAAAGCCCTTCGAATTTTCATTATCTTAATGTGATGGACCAAGCCCTTTTTAAAATATATCATGTTGTTCCAGTGAGTCGTAACCTGTTTAACAAGCAATCAGATGCCACTTTTCTGATATATATAAAGTATCCCTATTTTAACTTTAAAAATACTTGACTGGCGAAAATTTTCTTTTCAATTAGCTCCTTATCATGATGTGTGAACAGTAATATTTAATGTCTCATTATAGTATTCAAGAAATAAATGCACTAATTATTTTTTGTAAGCAATTATGGTTAGTGGCTAGCAGTGAAATCCAGGATGCGCGTTTCGTCCTATTTGGGATTCGTCAGCTGGATGTACCTGCACCTCAGAGTTGCCATTTTCTAAATGGTTGGTAACTGTATTGAAACCTCTGCATGAAAAGCTTGTAAAATATAGTGTTGGTGATGTGTCCCAATTTGTTGATAAAATCAGAAATGCAAATACGTTGGGACTAAAGATGACGCCATTGGATGTAACATCGTTATTCACAAACGTCCCACTCATAGAGACTGTAGAATATATAGGTGAACCGCTGATTGAAAATGAAATTGAAACTACTGTTCCTATTAATGTCGTGAAAAAGTTATTACTCAAATGCACCATGAATGTGAATTTCAAGTTCAACGGTGAAATATATAGACAAACAGATGGTGTTGCAATAGGTTCACAACTAGGCCCTATACTAGCTGATATTTTTCTAGCCAAACTAGAAAATGGTCCACTTAAAAAGATTATTCAAAACTTCACATTTTACTGTAGATAGATGGGTGACACGTTCATCCTCTGTAAAGATAACACGTCGCCGCAAGAGGTTCTTAGGTGATTTAATGAAGTGCATCCAGCCATTCAGTTTACATCTGAAGAAGAGAGTGATGGATGAATAGCCTTTTTGGATGTTCTCTTGACTAAGAGAGCGGATGAATCTTTAAAAAGGAAATTAAACAGAAAAAATACATGGACTGGGCAGTATACGAATTTCCTGAGCTTTGTACCTCTACAGTACAAACGAAACTTGATCAAAACCCTTAGTTACCGTATACGCACTATACGTTCTGCTGATATAGTTGAACAAGAGCTTAACACCTTGCATAATACTCTCAGGGAGAACGGCTACCCTAGAAAGTTTATAATTAAATATATGGTCACGAAGGCGAAAGTAGGCGAAATACAAACAGTGAAGAAGAAATCCCTGTTCATGTGTCTACAATTCAGAGGGGATGCGGCTAGTGAAATATTAACTCAGAGATTACGTAGGATAATACAAAAATCTTTTAACGCCGGAGAACTGCGATTAGTATTTTCTACGCGCCCAATGGTTACACTGAGGCTAAAAGATGAATTACCTAAAATGACCACCTCATTTTGTATTTATCAGTTCGACTGCTCCTGTGAAGCGAGTTATATTGGTCGAAGTTCTAGGAATTTACATTTTCGTGCTCGTGAACACCTTCCAGAGTGGCTAAACAAAGGTTTGATAAAGAAAGTGAACTGCTCAATATTGGCCCATTTAATACAAACCGGTTATAGTGCCAGTATAAACCAATCTTTTTCAACTAATTATAAGGTCAGTAATTTTTTGCCAAAACTGGTCAAACGTCTGGAGCAGTAGCCATCCGGATGAAGAAACCGGAGCTATGTGTACAAAAGAAATATATTCAACCACTCCTCCTCCCCTGGCCAACATCAAGGCCAATTAATCAATCGTAATTTTAACTATTGAATGATCTAATTTGACTACGACCTTTCGCAGTCACTTGTAATTGTCTCTGTTATCTTTATTCATAAGTCTTTGTATTATTATTATTATTATTATTATTATTATCATTATCATTATTCGTATTATTGGTTTAACATCATTATTAATCTCCCCTATACAGGATTCATTCATTTCGCATTCATCCCTCCGTATTACGTCTTACTTATTTGATCGAATTGTAATTGCACTATTATTTCTCTCTCACCATATTTGACCCATATTTATTCTGATCATGGATCCTAAAATTTCACTTCACATATACGCAGATTCAAGTGAACATTCTATATGAGTCATATCAACATTAACAATTTTATTGTATTTTGTTTATCACAATCCTAAATTCACATGCTCTAAACGATGTACTTTGCCCTTAACCTGGCCGTTTTTCGGATTATTAATTTGGATATTTAATTGTAGAACCTGAAGAGAATTTATCGAAAAGAATATTCTTCGTTCAAATATTAGTCTTTTAATATGACGGGGATCTTTGAACGATTAAAATATTATTCAATTATAATAAGTTACAGTTCAATGTATTTGATAATATAAGATTAAAAATAGAATGCAGAATTTCCTAGATTTCAGTTTCCGTACAAAGTATCAAATGGTTCTGAAACCTGAGTAGAAACATTTCTCCCATCTAAGATTCATTATCACAACTGACAACGTATATAAATTAATATAAGAAGGAAATAAGTAGTAATGATAAATAAGAACAAATACAATCGACATTTGGGGACTTCTGAAACTTATTTAGAATATCCAAGTTGGTAATGATCTAGATTAGTTATTTACTAATTACTAACATGAAATTGATTAAAGTTGTATTTCCTTATGATTACCAAACGCGTCCTGATTATTGGTGAAAATTAATATACAAGTATAAGTTATTTATTTACCTTATCTAAGTAGTTGAGATTTAAAACTCAAAATATCTGACAAACTTCAGTAAATTTCTATGTCGTTAAATAACTTCGCCTTTTATGGTTTCGTCAATAAAATTATATGATTGATAGATAGATAGATAGTACTAAAACTTTCAGAGTGATTTATGGCATACCCTTGTGGGTTTCGATTTAACTGGAGACTATAGAGATTCAATCAATAATTTTAGTTTTAGTGTTTAAAGAAAATTTTCTACACTCATGCATTTTCTTGAACCATAAAAAAACCTAATTGGTAACATTAATGTTTTTTCTTCGTGAAATAAAGGCTCAATTCTGAAAAACCATCTTTCTGTATTAGAAAGCTTCCCCCAAGTTGATCAGAGATAATGCAATAAATAAATCAGTGCTTCATGTTAATCAACGCGTTTCTCTATTAAAACTTTAACAAACAATTACTAATTTTGTAATCTATTTTAACTGAGTGAAAAATTCTAGAGATCAAACTAAATTCATTTGATCGTTAGGTAAAACTTTATACCTCTTGATCCAGAAAGATTTTGATTATGTTACATACGGAATATTAAACACTGAACTTGAACCTTCCATTGGTATTATCTTCGCAGTTTCTTAATGTCACAAAGATAAGCTAACACTTTAAGCCACATAAATATCTATTAATTAGATTGATTGTTGCCATGGTAATGAGCACATAGACAACACTATACGTTCATCGATTGCAAAACATTCTTGCAGACTATCCAGCTTACCTGGTCAAAAGTAAATGATAAGATTTTCGTAACTTCATTATACAACAGTCAGTCATAAGTAACATAGAAATAGGCACAAATATATATAGACTTAGTTTGATTTACAACACCACCGAATCGAAAATTAACTAGTTAACTTGGCTCATTTGTTTCCTTTTGAAAGATCCTTCAAAACACAACACAAATCTCAACTAAATAAACTAAAGTGTAGCCTAAACATTGACTACATGAATTAGATGCAAAATCTTGAGTTCATGAAAAAGATTTACAGGTATAGTGTGTTTTTCAATTCTCTAATTTATAGGGTTTGGTTGACTAGTTTTTATTGTTTATCTAGACAACGTCATCAACGCTCCATTTCACGATTCATAAATCAGTTTGTTCTGGTGACCTTGTTTGTAATTGGTTGTCCCTGTAATGAACTACATCTACTTATATGATGGCTCTAAATAAAAATCATAACAATTTTATAATGGTGTGATCATAATTTATTGTATTTATTTTTACTATAAGCTAATCATATTTTTTGTAATGTTCAGCATTTGGTAGGTTTTTGTTTAGCCTAAAAGTACTCTGTGTTCTGGGTGAGTGTGTAAAGCAGAGTGAAAAATTATACGGAAAAGAAAAAATGAGCCGATAACTCAGTAAATACATAGAATACACTTACATTTAGTAATGAAAGCAACCGACAACAATCAGAAATAACATAAGCAAAAGATTAAAACAATCTAATAATCGAAACTAATGGTTGATAGTATAAAATTTCGACTATGTTATAATTTATTTAGTATCACGATAATGTATATTCGCATTAACTATGTAAGTAATTCCATGACCTACGGAACTTAGATCCTTGACCAGAGAATTTCATGATTACATTGGAAGAAACGCATTTTATTCATTGAATTAGCCCTTCTTACTTCTCTAATGATTTAATAAGTATGTTTCATATTCGGATTTTCTAGAAAAAGATACACACACACACACCTTGCTTTTCTTTAATACTTTTAAAATAAAGATCTTTTTATATGCGATATAAGTTTTCAAAAAATATATATACCACACTCAAAATGGTACCTCGTTGAATCGGTTACAAACTTCATTAAAAGTAGAACATTTTTTTCAACATTAAATAGCAAGTATAGAAAAGTGATTTTTAGATTTACTAAGATAATAGTTAATATACATAGGAACTGATGAAATAGAAATCCAAATCATATTTATATAAAGAATATTGTTTAATTAATGAGTGAATTCAAACCACATTATTAGCTCTAGTAAATTCTGAAGATTCTTTTATAAAAACGAAATTCAATTCACCCTATTCTTATCTTTTAGTTCAGTTGATTGTGTAATGAACAAAACACAGGCGGAGACAACCAAATGTTTATCAGCATAAAACCACAGTAACCTTTCATCAAATGTGAAAACAATACATTCAATACTTCATTTGCAAATCCTCAGTTAGTTTTGTCAAATTTCATTGTTCGTTCATTGCCATAACAATCGATTCGATCTAACCAACCTTCTGCTACCAGGCATTCCACTTGTGATTAGCGTTACATACTACTTATGTCCGTTGACATAAATAGCATACACCACATACGTATACAACTTTAGTCCTAATCAAAATTCTGTATACTTGAATGTATACATAGAATAATGAGTAAAAGACTGAAGAACGTGAAATAACATTTAACAGTATGATGTCATTCATGATGTTAAATGTTAGTTTACAGTTGAAAAGTAGTCAGTCATCAAGATTTGACTATTGATGGTTGTTTAAACGTTATCATCTTGGAACTTCTTTATATTTTAGATAAATGGTTAATCTCACTATACAAAATGAAAACATAATATACTGTTAAATGGAGCTTCCAACAGTTGATCGTGACCTCACTGACATTAATCAATAATTGAATACTTTATTCAGTATGCTTAATATTAGCTCCTCTCTGGTATACCTTATCATATTTCATCATAAAATCTTTGAAGGTAACTCTTTTTCTCAATACAATTTTTAAGATATTTCAAACTTGTTTTTGCTGCTGAACATAAAGATCTAGTTTAGAAGTGAACCAACTTAGGCAAACTTTGTTTAAATGGTATTAGGCAAAAGTTATTCACATTTAAACACTGGATCCTTCAAATTTAATGTCAATAAATAAACAATAGTTAAGTCCTGTGATTTTCACAATTGATACTTAAATCTAATTGAAATAAGCATATAATAATTATTGTTTTTCCACTGAAACTATATTTGGCTTACTTGTTGATAGGCTGGGTCAATACAGACATACCAATTGTCTGTGAACACATCCTAGATCAAGACTAAATGTCAAGTAACAGATGCTAATGAATGATAGCTACTAGTCGAGATTTGCCCCAGTTATCTGCTGCTGAGTCTGTATAACATATCGGTTCAGTTATCTGATAAAGTTTACCACTCATTCTTTGTGTTCTCATTCAAATATGAAGTTGGGTTCAAATATGGGGAGCGTGTATATCAGTAAGCTAGTTGGAAGAAAGCCTGACACAATACCTATCTAAATGTTCACTTTTCTTCATTATTTCAATCTCGTTACCTTCATGAATCATTTAACAGATAGGTATTATCAGAAGGGTTTTGTGGATATTATAGTAATTTCAATGGTTAAGATCATGAGTCACTTGAAGCTAGACCACCATGAAAAACCTGGAAGCACTGGATGTCCGTTTCGTCCTATTGTAGAACTCAGCAGTGCGCATCCACGAACCGCCCCGCGAAATTCGAACCCAGGACTTATCAGTCTCGTGCGCGAGCGCTTAACCTCTAGACCACTGAGCCAGCGTACAACAACGGGCTTTTATAATCTTTAAAATTGTCAGTACGCACAAATTTAGAAACTAGCCTGTAACATTTCTCTTCAATTTAGTTTAAGCCGTTTAATATGTAAAATGTATTTAGAATACTTCATACATTTGGAGTTCGTGTAATCTATGTATTTAATGTTTATTTTGAACTTGGAAAAGGCGTTGGCAACATGAGGAGAAATAGTTTGACACCGTACCAATAAAATATGAATAACATTTGTACAGGAATTAGCCAGATGTGGCTGTGAATGAGGGAGGTAGCGGTTAACAGACAGGGAATAGTCCTTGAATGGTAAATCATATAATAGTAGTTCATAGGTCAAAACAATGCTCATGATAAGAGGGGCATGAATATGAACAGTTTAGTTACATAACAATTATACGATAAAAATATACTCATAATATTGGTCTATAAATGGATACCAAAAATTACCATTCATTATTCTTATCGAGGTACAACAGTATGTTAACAAATGTATAAATGTTCCAAAACGAGAACAAATATACCGATGAATCTGTTTCCAATCAATTAGGGTTGGTGAATGAATAGAAATCTTGTTAGAAGTTTCTTTTTTATTTGAATTCTTAAACTAACTGTCGTGTTTCCACTTTTGTACAATTTGTACCTACGATCAGAAAAGTCCATTGTGAAAACATATTCAACAAAGTACTATATTTCCAGAAGATTCTGTTAAAATGAAATCATTATGTCATTAAACTGTATTATAAATTAATTTACTTTAAAAAAAACAATCAACTCTTACAGTAGCCTTATTATTATTGACTATAAATTCTTTGAAAATAATACTACATAAATGATGTGAATACAACACACTATGAAATATGAATCTTACATTTCACGTGCATATTAACTTTACAATACCTTTTTTTTCCACGAGTTAAAGTCTTACTATTCTACTCTAATCTATACTATAGAATGTAAATAGTTATGATATTATGGAATTTGTTAACATTGTCAAATGTGATGTAAATTTTCATTACTGACTGATTACTAACTAAATATGCATTGAAAATCATACGACATAGATAAAGCTGTTTTACATTAATTTAAAACTTCAAACAGGATAAAATGTAACACCATTTAATCTCATAATGTAGTGAACGAAAACACAAGTGAGACTAGTCGAACATATTGGAGTATAGAATTACAGAATGTTTCACTATAGAGTAAATACTTACGCTGCAAAATATCAATCCATTGTCTCAAACTTGACTGTTTCTTTTACGAATATCAGTCCATCGTCTTAGATTTGATTGTTCCTGCATTTTCATACTAATTGCATTCGGTTTCCATTCTTTCTTTCTCGACCTTCTACTGAAGTACATTCTATTCCTGATTGTCGTTATATCCTATGTAAGATGTGATCGATAAACGAACCAACCAATAATAAAGGGAAACGCCCACCACCACATTAACTCCTTTTGACCTTGTACGACTGTATCTTTTTATTAGCCAATCACAGTTTAATGTTCATTGTAAAACAATATTTGCTTGTTGGCTCATTCTTCCTATTCTCTGGCTACCGTTCGGTATGTTATTTGTCTCTTTTTTCCTGTATTAATAGACTGTACTGTTCGTTTGCACACTAACGATGTTAATTTATGTTTTAGAAACAGATAAAGTTTATCAAGCCAAATAGCTTACTTGTTCTGACTTTGGCTAGACCAAGACTCTGTACTCGACGGTCTAGAGATTAGCTTCGAGTTGAATCTGTAGGAAATTGCTTCCTACAAAGTTTCGAACGGTATCTCATCAAAGTTTCGTACATTGGGTACCTTTAGATGTCTATGGAGAGTCGTAAAACTGATCATATTCCTGAATTGTCTCCTCATTATTCAGAAACCCATAGTGATGACCAGCTCGGAGGAAATACCTACCGAATGGATCCCTTGTTAGAGTTAGAATTAGCTAAAGTACGTTTAGCTCAGACAGAAAAAGAAATCGAGCTAGAACGGTTACGCCAAAAAGGAAAAGAACATTATGATCAAGTTATGGTTGACAAGGCGATGACGTATGAGTCTACATCTGTCGTTGATGTTCCTCATAGAAAAGACTGGGTAACAATGATGTCTAGAGCTTTAGACCTACCAAAGAAAGAGATTATAAGGTTTGATGGTAACCCTATGAACTATTGGAGCTTCATACGGAATTTTGAGGACTGTTTTGACGAGAGCATTGGGTTCCGATCTAGGTTAAACTATTTGATCCAGTACTGTGATGGTGAAGCTAAAAACACTATTGTTCATTGCGCATTGCTTGAACCAGAAGAAGGCTATCGTAAAGCACTAGAACTTCTCGAGGAAGCATTTGGTCAGAAGCATATAGTAGCTCATGCATTTATTGATAAGATGCTGAACATCCCTGCCATTAAAGGGACCGATCCATATAATTTAAGAAGGTTGTCTCGTGAGATGCATATTTGTGAGCTAACACTCACGCAGATGAACTATGTATCTGATCTTAATTCTACAAAGACTATCGAATGCATGTTTTTAAAACTCCCGTTACACCTGCAAAGAGAATGGGTTAAAGTTGCGTGTAGAATTCTTAAGACAGGTAGAGAACCTTCATTCAAGGACCTTTGTGAATTTGTGAAAGAGCAGTCAGACATTGCTAATACTAGGTACGGCTTACTTGTCAACCGCGGTAGTAATAGTGGCAATAAAGATGTTGGTGTTTTAAAAAGGAAAATTAGTACAGATTACAATGCAGCAAGAATATCTTATGCGAGTGCTAGTGATGATAACGCTCTCTTACGCAGTTCATCTTGTTTGGAGTGCTCCAGTAATCATTCTTTAGATCAATGTCAGAAATTTAAAGACAAGAAGGTTAGAGAAAGGAAGGAATTCGTTCTTAGACACAAGTTGTGTAATGTATGCCTGAAGGCAAACCACGTAGCAAAAAACTGTCGATCGCCGAGATCGTGTGCTGTCGAAGGGTGTGGCTGGAGACACCATACCTTGTTACACGAGTTGCGGGAAGAACCAAGGAATACTAATATTGATGCACACATTAACACCCAGCTATGTACGGAGAAAAGTGTTGAGCGTGTACAGAAACAAGCAGCATTCGCAATAGTGCCTGTACTGGTAAGAAATGGAGAAAAGGTAGCACAGACTTGCGCCTTCTTAGATAGTGGGTCGGATGCCTCGCTTATTACAGAAGATCTAGCTAAAAGGTTGAATTTAGAAGGAGAGCCTAAGACGATTTCGTTGAAAACGTTGGATAACCATTCCACAATTCAGTGTAAAGAGGTTCAACTAGAGGTTTCCTCCTTAGACTCGTCTTCGTCATTTAGAATCCCAAACGTATGGACAGTCGAGAGATTACCTATGTTGCGCAGGACGGTACCAACGACGTCTCAAATGAAATCCTGGACGCATTTAAAAGACATAAGTTTTCCTAGAGTAGAGGATGAGAATGTCAAACTGTTGATCGGGTGCAACGCACCGAGTGTACACGAAATGAAAGAGTTAAGAACTGGAAAGTCGAATGAACCATTCGCCGTGAAGACTCCGTTAGGTTGGACGCTGTTCGGTTCCTATAGGAAACCTTGTGAAAGCAATTGTGCACTCAACCACCTCTCAGCTAAAGAGGAATTAGAGGATAAGTTCGAACAGTTGTACTCAACTGAATTCAAAGATCCATTTAGTCGTACTATATCGATGTCTGTAGAAGATCGTATAGCACTCAGTGCTATATCAAATTCAGTACAAAGGTTAAACGGGCACTATCAAATAGCTCTACCTTGGAGGCACAACCACGAGTTACCTAATAACAGAGAATTAGCAGAACGTAGACTTAGCTGTTTGAAAGGTAGACTTATTCGGGATAAGAAGTTGTTCCAAGACTATGTAGACTCCATGACTCGGTATGTAGAACGAGATTACGCTGAAAAGGTAAACGATAACCACTCTGATGGGCGAATTTGGTATCTTCCTCACCATCCAGTCTTCCACCCCAAGAAACCTAACAAGCTAAGAATAGTGTTCGATTGTGCAGCTCAGTATGCTGGAACGTCTTTAAATAAGAGCCTTTATTCTGGGCCTGATTTAGTCAATAACCTAGTAGACGTTTTCACCAGGTTCCGGCAACGACCAGTAGGTCTTACGGCGGACATTGAAGCCATGTTCCATCAAGTAATAGTTCCGCCGCATGATCGAGATGTTCTTAGATATTTGTGGTGGCCAGGTGGAGACTTAGAAAAGGAACCCGGGATCTATAGAATGAAAGTTCATCTGTTCGGGGCAACTTCATCGCCATGTTGCGCCACCTTTGCTTTACAGAAAACGATTTCTGATAATCAAGATAAATTTCCCAGGGCTGTTACGCAAGCAGCTAAAGAACAGTTTTATGTGGATGATTTATTGATAAGTGTGGATACCATAGAAGAAGCCAAACGGACATATTCGCACTTTAAAAGACTCCTAAGTTTGGGAGGATTTAACTTAACTAAATGGACTAGTAATAGCGTTGAAGTGCTGGAGTTCATTCCAGAAGGAGACCGTGCTGAAGGAAGCATTACTGTCTGTGAGTCCAGTGAGACAAGTAAACGAACTCTTGGAATAGAGTGGAACGTCCGAACAGACGAGTTATGTTTCAAAGTTCACGAATTTCACGGAAACCCACCAGAAGGAATGTTTTATCGTATGTAGCATCTATCTTTGATCCAATTGGGTTTGTGGCCCCAGTAATATTGCCGGCTAAAGTGATCTTACAAGATACTTGTCGTCAGAAACTAGACTGGGATGCCGAGTTACCCATAGATTGTCAAACAAAGTGGAATAATTGGTGTAGACATATAAAAGGGTTAGACCACTTAAGGATACCAAGGTGTTTGAAACCAGGGTTTGAACCATCATCTGCGCAAATTCATTGTTTTGCCGACGCCTCCGAGCTTGCGTATGGTGTTGTTGCGTATATTCGTTACGAAAGTGTTTCTGGTCAGATTCATTGTTCATTCCTGCTAGCTAAGTCTAGGGTTGCTCCTCTAAAGCTTGTTACTATACCCAGAATGGAATTAACGGCCTGTGTTCTGTGTGCTAAGATTGGAAGGCACGTAAGGGAACAGTTAAGTATCCCCATTTCGTCAGTCATTTATTGGACCGATTCGACAGTTGTGCTTCATTGCATAAAAAATACGACTAAAAGGTTTGAAAGGTTTGTGAGTAACAGGTTAGAAACTATACACGAGTTGTCTACGCCGAGCCAATGGAGATATGTGAAAGGTAAATTGAATCCTGCAGATCACGCGTCTCGTGGATTATCACTAAATGATAAGGCTAAGGTAAGAGAGTGGTTACAAGGGCCGAGATTCTTGTGGGAGGAAGAAAATAAGTGGCCTAACCTAGAAAAGATTGAGAACACTATAGCCCATGTATTGACAGAGGATTTCGAACTCCAAGACACGATGATGAGTTCCTAGATCGATTTCGTACGTGCAAGTCGTGGTCCAGACTTCTAAGGGTATTTTCATACTGCAGACGGCTTATCAATAATATGTTAAACAAGAGGAACGGAAATCGTCTAACCTTAGGCGAGCTAAGTGCTGAGGATATCGAAAATTCGAAGAGTGACATAATTAAACTAGTCCAAAGTATCGCGTACCCGGCCGAAAAAAGAATTCTAAACAGCGCACCGTTGACGCTCGGAGAAAACGCTTTTAGACAGCAAAAAGGTCAAGAAGCAATGGACGAGGTGAACAGGAGAAAAAAATTAATTCGTCAAAGTTCTATAAGAAATCTCAACCCCTTTATGTTTGAAGGCAAAATCCACGTGGGAGGACGTTTGCAGTTATCATGTTTACCCTTTGAAACCAAATATCCGATTATTCTTCCTAATAATCATTTTGTTACAGATATGATTATAATGCGTTATCATGTGATTAACGCACATGTTGGAGTTACTCAAACTCTGAGTAGTATTCGTGAGGAGTATTGGATTGTTAGAGGATATTCTACTGTTCGGAAGGTTCTAAAACGATGCTATTTATGTAGAAGACTTTATCCTAAACCATGTTCCCAACTAATGGCACCGTTGCCGGAATACCGAGTAGAGACTCATTCGCCACCCTTTAGTCAAGTAGGTGTGGATTATTTCGGACCGTTCTATGCCAAGCGTGGTAGAGTTGTCGAGAAACGTTATGGCTGTTTATTCACCTGCTTATCTATTAGAGCCGTTCACATCGAAATGGCCTATTCTTTAGATACGGATTCATTTCTATGCGCATTAACGAGATTTATTGCCAGAAGAGGATGTCCAAAGCGTATTTTTAGTGATAACGGCACAAACTTCCGAGGTGCAGATGCCAGTTTGAGACAGATTATACGTTCCTGGAATACTAATAAAATAGAAAACCACCTTAAAGAACGAGAATGTGAGTGGCGTTTTAACCCACCTAGAGCAAGTCATCGAGGTGGTGTGTGGGAACGCATTATAAGATCAATTAGAAGAATCTTAAGAGTGCTTTTATTCCAAAACGTGTTGACCGATGAAACTCTGCAAACCTTCTTAACTGAGGCGGAACGGATACTGAATGACAGACCTCTGGTTAAGATGACAGATGACCCTGGTACCCTAGAAGCTCTTACTCCGAACAAGTTGTTGTTGATTCATAAAAAATTATCATTCGACGATGCTTCGGTGGATAAGACGTTATTATACAACAAAAGATGGAAAGAAGCTCAAAGACTAACCGCCGCATTCTGGAATAGATGGATAAAAGAATATTTACCGACTCTTCAAGCAAGAGACAAATGGTTGGACGTACACAAGAACTTACAACCGGGTGACTTAGTCCTCGTTAGTAACGTCGAAATGAATAGAGGTCTATGGCCTAAGGCTATAGTCGAGCAAGTAAGCTATGGCCCGGACGGACGAGTCCGCACGGCAAAGTTGAGAACTTCAAACGAAGAAATCGTCAGAGATGTGCGAAGCCTATGCTTGCTGGAAGAAGCCGGTTGTCTGAAAGCGACGACGGCCCTGGACAATGGACGTGGTGCGCGTTTCGGGGGGAGTGTAAGATGTGATCGATAAACGAACCACCAATAATAAAGGGAAACGCCCACCACCACATTAACTCCTTTTGACCTTGTACGACTGTATCTTTTTATTAGCCAATCACAGTTTAATGTTCATTGTAAAACAATATTTGCTTGTTGGCTCATTCTTCCTATTCTCTGGCTACCGTTCGGTATGTTATTTGTCTCTTTTTTCCTGTATTAATAGACTGTACTGTTCGTTTGCACACTAACGATGTTAATTTATGTTTTAGAAACAGATAAAGTTTATCAAGCCAAATAGCTTACTTGTTCTGACTTTGGCTAGACCAAGACTCTGTACTCGACGGTCTAGAGATTAGCTTCGAGTTGAATCTGTAGGAAATTGCTTCCTACATCCTACTTATATGAATATAAATAGCTCACACCATAATAGTATTGAGTCAATGATAAAGATGAATCGTTACTCTACTCGCATTTATTATTAATGTTTATTATTGACTGATAATGAAACTTATTTTAATGGAAATGTATCTGGCTGACTTTCTACATAGAAAATGAAATATGTGTCGTGAGTTTCAGTAATAAACATTATTCGATATAAAAAAACCCCAAACTGGTGTGTTCTTATTTTCTTTACCAGTCCAATCAATTTCATTGGTAAAAACGCCCAGAGTCTTCAGAACTATCATTTGTACTTCAGACTAAAAGTTAAAACAATCTAACTGAGAAGAATGTGTTATTTATGTACGGATTATTTGTAGAAAACATTAGTAACAATAAGGGAAGTTGATTTCCTAACCTGACTTAATTTTAACTACTTATATACCCATAGACTTATCAGTAGATGACTTTAAAAGAACGTTAGAAAGTAACACATCCTAAAGTAACATCCTTCTTCTAGCTGGGAAACTAGATGAACGGATGAAACAAGCAGTAATTATTCCCAATTGTCTACTCTTGTATCCGATTCGTTTAACATCTGATATCAAATATTGAAAATATTCAGCCAAGTTATATCTCATTACTTTATCATAATGAAATATAGATCACAGGCGAGACTATAATTTATGGACGAACCAATCAGATTTACGATAACAGGTCTTAGATTTTGGCGCGAAATTCATTCATCCATTCAGCTAAATAAAGTCTGGTCATTATAGCTGATGTCATTTCGTGATGAAAACCCTAAATCTAATTCCTAGCATTAACCATCATCAGTAAATTATAATACGAATTCCTCACACTAATTGATAAGCCACATTTGGTCCTTGTTGTTAAGTAGAAACTCTCAAGGTCATTCTAGCGTCGCTCAAAGGTCATCCATAAATTATAGTCTCACTGAAGAATGAAAAGAAAAATCGTAAAATGATCATTTGAAGAGAAAAGAACATCATAACAACAATTACACAGAAGTAAAATTCCTTTACAAGGTCTATTCTATTTAATTATAGTACTGTAAACATTTTTTTTAAAAACAATTTTATGTAATTACCACAACATAAACAATACGACCTTAATTGTACACAAAGAAAAATCTAATACACTTGATAATAACAAACAATCTTTCACTTATGTAATTAGTAGTAACAGTGTATATACATTATTAAATACAAAAATAAAGTAAAATTATGTGGTGTAATCGTTTCTATTTATGTCTGAATTATCAATAATAATGTTATAACGGTTGGTTTTCTGCGTTTACACGTGTGGGACGTTAATTTACCTTAGGCGAATATCTACACTAGATTCCATCCCAGTATTCTATTCTACAGGACGTCAACATAACTAAGATCAAGAAAACGTGATTAACCTGACTAGAATGTAAATATATTTCCACACCATAAACACGACATAATCCAACAGCAATGAACAATCAATAACAATTATTATTATAAGGATAGGGGAATATATAACTCATTTAACACCTGTGAGACTATCTACATGTCTGACTAAGCAAACAATCAATCATTATCATTCTCGCCCACACATCAAACAATTAGACTAGTTGAATATGGTTGTATTAATAAGAATTATTTTGTAAGTAACTCGTTATCCTTACTTAATTACGCCTGTTACTCCTCGTGGAGGAGCATAGGCCGCCCACCAGCACTCTTAGTCCAACCCTGTCTTGGACAATCTATTCTCTAAAGCTGAAGTTTCTTATCTCAGATATAGAAGATAGTTCATATACATTATCTTGCACTATTTGAATTATTGATACAACTGGGCATATGATAACCAATAGAGTAGAACTAACACATCTAAGAGTCATACAATTTTTATTAATCGTGAGTAGTTCAAACGAGTAATCAGCTGTTTGAATCTAACGTCAAGATACATTGGCGCACTTTTTCAGCTGTTTCCTATAAAAGAAAGCGAGGAGTGCTGAAATGGATTTGATGACAGAAAGTTTATTGCATTCTTTACATTTTATTGACCTTCATTGAACAATTTTCGTTGTAGCATAATACAGTTATATGCATTTATATACCATTCAGTGTGTTCTTGATTTTAAAGTGGACGTTTCATTACTTTTAAAACTAATCCATTTTATTAGTACCAAATGACTGATTTGATTTTGGCCATCAAATCATTTTTGAAGAATATAATTGTTAGGCCTATCGCAGCGTCCAGGTCACCCAACGATTTGTCTACAGTAGCGGTTCTTTATTGAATAATACACAAAATTTAGTTACAAACCTCAAGTTGTGAGGTGTCTGTGGCATTTAACGCGTCCTTTTGTATGAAGTAAAAGGGAATTCCTGTAACGTTAACATAAAGAATAATTACAACATACGATAGTGCAAAGGATAGCTGTGTCTAAACGTGAAAACAGTTTATCAACAAGCAAAACAATATGGAAACTGTTGCGTTTAAACAAATGCACAAAACTGTAGATAACTGCTGCAGTGATTGAGGTAAAGTAATCATAATGATAAATACAATAAACGTTAAAAGTATATGTGAATATTTCAGAATATTACACAACAAACTTGAGTTACAACACAGGTGTAAATATTGCTGGGAATACAACTATTTACTGAATGTAAATAAGTAGTATAAAACAATACGCAAAAGAGCGGAAGAAAAGTGAGTAGGAACAATTTAAAACTTAACAATAACGTTCATAAAAGTTAGTTTTATTTATGCTAACAAAACGCCGAGCACATCCAACTGATTCGCCTCGCTTTATAATCTAGAGAGAACCTAAGCTACACTATAAGATCTATCCTATGGACACAAGATATAATATGTCTGAGACATTCTAATGAATAGAAATTGGAATAAGTGACATTTCGTAACTTGGTGAAATCATTTTCTTCAGAATAAAAAAATAACCAAATAACATTATTTGTTCACTCTGACAGAATGGACTACACTAAGTCACGAAATTCCAATATATACATAGTTGTTGCAGTTCCATGGTATCTGGTGACCAATAATAGGTTCATATGCCATTTGTTCCCTTAGGATGCTGGAGCTCATGTACACCATTGGTTTGGAATCAAGGTTATCCAACCCCTCTAGATGGACGCTCCATATCTATTAACCCGGTTAAGGTGCTGGACATTCGCTTTTCGACCTCTCACTTTTGTAAACAACAGTGATGCCGCTGTGGTGTGTGCTACTTATATCGACATAAGTAGTATATGACGTTAGTCAGGGACGGAATGTCTGGCAGCAGAGAGACAAGATGATCGAACAGTAAAAAATGAAAACAGAATGCAATTTGTATGAAAATGCAAGAACAATGTATTCTGAGTCATTTTAAGACAAATGTTGGACATCTTGCAGATTAAGCATTTACTTTATGATTGTTAGATTTTATTAACAAGTCCTGTAATTTTCTGTCAAATACGTTCGGTTGTCCCCACTCGTGTTCTGTGCACTGCATTACGACAAGGCAGTGAATAAGACTTCCCTGGCAGTGGTTGTATAGGTGTGGCCATGCGAGAACATTTGGAGGCTTTTTGATAGACAAATTAAATTTTCACCGTCATTTAACGGTATACTTTTTGATTTCTAATTCTAATAAATTATGAAAACTTGACTGATGAACTAATAAATTTTGTTCTCAAAAGAAAATTTTCTGGTGTAGGGGTTGTGGAGATTATTAAGTTCTTGATTGAGATCATGAACCGACTGATGTTAGACCACCTTTGGAAACCTGGAAGCACTGGACGGCCGTTTCGTTCTTTTGTGGGACTCCTCAGCAGTGCGCATCCACGATCCCGCTCACGGTATTCGAACCCAGGGCCTTCGTTCTCGCGCGCGAACTCGTGAACAGATCTCTCAATTGCACTCAACAATTTTAATATACAATCACTGTTTCCGTTTTAAAACCTCAGCTAAAATAACAGACTGTTTACTAAAACAAGTTTTTTTTTATTCTTTCAAAATTGAAATATATACAAAAATCATAAATGTTATAAAAAGGAAGGACGTTAGAAACTACAACTGAAGCAGTCGGCTGACGATTTGTACATGTAAAAAAGAAGTATAATTTTTGCAAAGTTTTGTGGAAAAAAAATATTGAAAAATAGCATCAGTTTCTTCCTATGTATGTTTACAAATTAATGATTATAGAATGATAGTTATTGTAAGTAAACATCATCTATATAACATATGTATTAAAATTAAACAGATCAATAGACCATTGAATGGACGCAGTATACAACCACTTGCATAGACATCTAAAATAGCCGGATTCGCATAAGGATTACGTCCATCATCCCATGACATTGGACATACATCAAATTGATATTCATCTTCTGTTAGTTCTAATAATAAAGATGCACCTTCTTCTGGTAAAGATGATTCAGCTGTTTGAATTTTAGAACAGCGATTACCACGACCACGTGACATTAGGTATGTTCGAAAACTTAAACGTTTATAAATCCAACAACGAAAATTATTGCTTACCTAAAAATACAAATTTAACAGAAAGAAAACGATATATATTTCGTGTTAAGAATAGTCAGCAATAATAATGATAGAATAGAAAAGGATTGAATGATCCAAGATTTTGTTGAAATCGATGGTTACAATCAAAGAAACATCTATACAATAGTGTTTGGACTAATTATTTCGGCTAAGGTTATCCGTTCTACTCTCAAAGTTTAAGTAATGTATTGTATTCAGTCGTTGTTTCATTCATTATACACGTAAGTACTTATTAATAAAGTTTAATTT